GTATCTCATTGTGGTTTTGATTTGCATTTCTCTAATGATCAGTGATGTTGAGCTTTTTTTCATGTTTCTTGGCCACATAAATATCTTCTGTTGAGAAGTGTCTGTTCATATCCTTTGCCCACTTTTTATTGTTTTATGAATACTATCTTGTTTTATGAATACTACCTTGTTATGTAAATTTAACAACTGTTACAACTTCAGTGACTTGCACTCTTCAATACCATGAAATATCCTTGTCTCCTGCAATGCTTTACTTTGCCTGAATTCCACCTCGTCTGATATTAAGATCAGATGCCTTTTTTTTTTTTTTTTTTTTTTGGAGCAGAGTCTCACTCTGTTGCCCAGGCTGGAGTGCAGTGGCGCAATTTAGGCTCACTGCAACCTCCACCTCCCAGGGTCAGGCAATTCTCCTGCTTCAGCCTCCCAAGCAGCTGGGATTACAGGTGCATGCCAGCACGGCTAGCTAACTTTTGTATTTTTAGTAGACACAGGATTTACCATGTTGGCCAGGCTGATCTTGAACTCCTGACCTCAAGTGATCCACCTGCCTTGGTCTCCCAAAGTGCTGGGATTACAGGGATGAGCCACTGCACCCGGCCTGTTTGTATTTTCTTGGTATTCCACCAGCCATCTTTTTATTTCCAACCTTTCCAAATAAAGTTGTTTTAGATGTGCCTTGTAATGTCAGTATAATTTATACTGTATCCCCCAATATGAAATTATTTAATTTTAAATTGTGATACAGTCCATTTATACATATTGATAAGCAAATAGCGTGGGCCATATTTTAGGTTTTCACTGTGTTGCATTTTAGGTTTTCTGTTTTCATACTTTTTTTAGAGCCATTCACTCTGTGGTCTAATTTTCCTCATTGTCTGTATGTCTGTGACAGTGTTTATGCCTCTGACTCCTTAGTAACCCTTTACTTCTTTTTAGTAGGCTGGATTATGCATGATGAAAAAGGTAGCGTGTTCCTCTTTCTCTCACCAACTTTTCTCTCTTCCATCATCTTGTTTTAGTAAATGTTATTATATTTGAGTGTTTCCTTTTTGGCTGTTAAATATTTATGCTTCCATTACTTGAGTTTTCAATCTTAAGAAGATCTTTGACTTCTGTTTCATAGAAGGCAACTGGAGCACCTACTGCACATTTCACTCTTCCTCTTTTTCCTCCAAGTTTTGTTAGATGTATTCTGCCTGTTTGTTTTATTTTTTTATTTTTAGTTTTTCTATAGAGTCTTGGTCTCACTGTGTTGCCCAGGCTGGAGTGCAGTGGGCATGATCATAGCTCACTGCAGCCACAAACTCCTGGGCTCAAGAGATCTTCCCACCACAGGCTCCCAGGTTTAAAAATACTCAAGTTTGGCAAATCATTCTAATGTCTTCCATTGTGATGTACCAGTTCATGTTTTTCTACCTCTTCGAGATTTTATTTGGGTAAGTTATATTTTGCTAGGAGGGTATCAATTTCTCCTAGTTTTTCTAATTTACTGTCAAAAAGCTGAATGTCATTTTAACAGGTAGCACCTTCTTTACTTGAAAAGGGTTTCGACCATCAAATAATTGGTTCTTCTTTAGTGGGCTGAATTTTTTTTCTTTCCACACAGAGGTGCTATCAGTAGATAAACTAGCAAATTCCCACTCCTCTGCTAGCTAGATTTAAGAAAGAAGCCCACGTCCCCATAATGGGATTAACTGTGCTTTCCAGTTACAGAGACAAGGAGCAATTCTGGCCTACCTTGAGGTCCACTGAGCACCCCACTGTAGCGACCCTCTAAGAGCCCACAGAACAAATATATAGGTACAGATGCTTTGTAAGGATAATGAGGTTTTACCAGCTGTGACTCTCTATTTTTACAATGGAGAATGAAGACCTACCCTGACTGTGTTTCCTGGAGCTCTCCAGTTAACTCATAGATTCGGAGGCATCTTCTACCATTTGGTGTGATCCAGAACAGGAGTTGAAAGAGAAAGGCATTGGGAATGTTCATTCAGGACACTGTCTTTTCAGAATTACTTCTGGTCTCCCCACAGCTTATTTTGGTTTGAGTTTTATTTATAACAATATATATGCATGAATATATGTATATATTATATAACTATAGAAACAACCTAAATGTACCATAAAGGGTAATGATTACATAAAGAGTAATGATTGCATAAATCATAGTGTATATATACATACTGGGATAGTATGCAGCTGTCAAAAATATAAAATATAAAAATACCTACTATACATCCTCATGAAAGCAGAACACAAAACTACAGTCATATTTTGTAATGTACAGTTGATTCTTGAAGGACATGAATTTGGACTGTGCAGGTCCACTTCTACATGCATTTTCCTTCATCTCTGATATCCCTGAGACAACAAGACCAGCCCCTCTTCTTCTTCCTCCTCCTCCTCAGCCTACTCAACATGAAAACAAAGACCAATTTTGTTGATGGTCCACTTCCACCTAAGGCATGGAAAATATATTTTATCTTTCTTATGGCTTTTTTTTTTTTTTTTGAGACAGAGTCTCACTCTATCAACCAGAGTGGAGTGCAGTGGCATGATCTCAGCTAATTGCATCCTCTGCCTCACAAGTTCAAGCGATTCTTCTGCCTCAGCCTCCCGAGTAGATGGGACTACAGGCACATGCCACCATGCCTGGCTAATTTTTGTATTTTTAGTAGAGACGACGTTTCACCATGTTGGTCAGATTCACCTGCCTCGGCCTCCCAAAGTGCTGGGATTACAGGCGTGAGCCACAGTACCCAGCCTTCCTTATAGTTTTCTTAATAATATTTTCTTTCTTTTCTTTATTGTAAGAATACAGTTTAAAATATATACAACATTAAAAATATGTGTTAATCAACTATGTTATCGGTAAGGTTTCCAGTCAACAATTGGCTATTGGTAGTTAAGTTTTTGGAGAGTCAAAATGTAGATTTCAATTGCATGGGGGAGGGGTATTGGTGATCCCTAATCCCCATGTTGCAAAGTTGTGTGCATTTAAACAGTAAAAGAAAACGATTAGGAGGGAAATTCATCTAAACGTTGATATTCTGCATAATTAGGTAGTTCTTACTCCTACTTTTTTTTTGGATTTTCTAAACTTTCTAAGACAAACATGTACTGCTTTCAAAATCAGAAGAAATGAAATATGATTAAAGCACTAAAAAACTTTTAAGTAGCTGTAAATAACTACTTTTAATTTTGTTACAATTATCACTCTAAATGATAGATGTTTTCTTATATGTTAGATATTATTTATATAAAATACATTATTAAGAGTATAGTGAAATAGTTTCTTTTCATAATTAGGAAAATTAATGTTCTCTATTTTCTGCACTCACTGGAGCAATCCAGGCCATAGACCTCATGTAGAAATAAAGTAGTCAGTGGCCTCTGGTGACAACTGCAAATACAAGCTCTATGGGACACCTTCAAAGTTCAATAAATATTTATGTTTATGCTGCCAATCCTATGCTGTGACAGGACACCATAATAAGATTAATAAAATGGAATTTATTAAGCATACAGAAAATTGGTCTTTTAGGGTAAATGTTTTACCTAAATAGGAAATAATCATTTATTAAGGCTTGTAAAATATTTAGACGATTTTACCTAACATATAGATCTCTAGAGAGAGGCAAAGTAAAAATTTAAACCTAATCCAATATTGAAAAAGCATTGTAGTGCATGTATTATAGTTCTACTAAGCCAAATCATGACCTTGTTTGGAATATATTATACATGGTACTTAACATCTTTTCCTGATCTAATAACACTGCTATCAAAAATCCAACTTGAATTGAGCCAGCATACAAAATATGGGGAAGGGTGATTGAATCCTATGAATTTCCTAGTAGTGAAAGAACAAAATAATATGTTTTTTTTTTTAATGAGCCCTGAATAACACTGTGAAGATGCCTATACCAAGGAGTATGTACTAATCGCAGAAATACAAAGTCAAATCTTTATCTATTTAAAGGAACAAAGTTTTGCCTTTCTAAGATGAAAGCTAGTTAGTAGTTTAATACTGTTCCAATCATCTTTCCCACGTTTCACAATCTTCATTAAATTATGAACAGAAATATGCAATTGATATCGTTTGACTCTGTGTCCCCACCCAAATCTCATCTCAATTTGTAATCCTCACATGTTGAGGGAAAGAAGTGATTGGGTCATGGGGGGAGTTTCCCCCATGCTGTTCTCCTGAGAGTGAGTAAGTTCTCATGAGATCTTATGTTTTTTTAAGTGTTTGATGCATCCCCCTTCACACTCACTCTCTTGCTCTCTCGCTTGCAGCCATGTAAGATTTGCCTGCTTTCCCTTCTGTCATGATTGTAAGTTTCCTGAGGCCTTCCCAGCCATGCAGAAGTGCAAGTCAATTAAACTGCTTTTCATTATAAATCACCCAGTCTCAGGTATTTCTTTATAGCAGTGTGAAAATGGACTAATATAGCAATTATCATAAAAATGATTCAGTAGGGATAAGGATAAAGGTCTGCATATAAGAATGGATGTATAAATGTATCTTTGAGACACAGATTCCAGTGTGCTTTATCCTCATACTGTAACCCAAAAACATCACAATATCTGTGGTTACTGTATACTGTCAATGCTTAAGAAAACAGGAAGGAGCTGGATGGATGTGTTTTAAGAACCATAAACCACATCAAACACCTTTCCTTTGATGATGTATAATAGGTATTTTTGACAGCTTCATACTATTCCAACATGTATGTATACAGTATGATTTATGCAATCACCACCCTTTATGTAATCATTACCCTTTAGTGTACATTTAGGCTGTTTCTATAGGCAGGTTTTAATGGTTAAGAAAATCGGTTTTACTGGAGAGGAATGGATGGAAGAAAAACTGGGAATTTAGAAATACACATATGACAAACTTACATCATTTCTTTTCTCATTTCTTTTCTCATTTCTAACATCAAAGGAAACATGACAGGGTAACATGTATAGGAAACCCAAAATATTTTCTGTCTCACCTTGGAAGACCGGAAGGTAAATGCTGTTGATTTTACATCAGCTTTCTCTTTGTCCATGAGTAGAAGGTTTTTGTCTTCCATGAGACTCAAGTATTTTCCTGTTGTGACATGGCGTAGTCGGAACGGCTGGCCCCATCTTATGTGGCTTCCACTCCACCTAATGAAAACAGTTAGGACTTGATCCAATAGCACCCACAATCACAGAAAGAGCAGCTACTGAAACACATGTCAGATAGTGAACAGTCATATATATTGTCTTACTTAATGTTCTCAAAAAACTTAGGATGTTAGTGATATTAATTTCATTTCACAAATAACAAAACGGCTCTTCAGAATGATTAAGTAATATACAAAGTCATAAACCTTATAGTAAGAAGTTGTTAAATTTAACTCAAGGTGTTCTGACTTTAAACACCATACTATCCACACAGCACCCTATTCTATGCAGAGATAACTAAGAACTTGTGCTTTAAGTCAGCCTCTAATACAGATTAGCCAAGCTCTAATGCAGATAATGCAGGAAGTATAACTTCAAATAATATTTCAGCATTTACTAGTTAAAAATTGTTGTATTTGCACAGACTTGAAAAATAGTAGTATTGTGGTCAATGTCTAAGTGTGATTAATTGGAACTCATATATGTAAACTGAAGTATATAGTTAGACTATATTTACCTGACAAAATAAATGTATTCTTATACTTTACATTTCAATATTGCGGAACAATTACATTATTAGAATCTGATGAACAAAAAAGATAAACCAAGAAAATGAAAATTCTAAAAAAGTCAGGAAAAAAATGTAATAAACAGAAAATATAGAATGTGTCAGTAAAAAGATAAGTGATGATCATAAAAAATTTGCTTTAAAGGATACTGAATGTTCTTAATGCACAGAAATGATAAATGTTTGAGATGGATATGCTAATTACTCTGATCTGATCACTATACATTACCTGTATTAAAACATCACTTTGTACCCCATAAGTATGTACAATTATCATTTGTCTATTAAAAATAAATAAAATGACTTTCAGGTAGGATAAAATAGAAAAATCAAAATACAAGCTGTTCTTGCTTTGCACATTACCTTGTTAACTGAAGGTTGTGCATTTAGGAGCTTTAACCATGCTAAGGTGCAGAGCGATGGCACAGTTCTATTGTACATGACTTTCCCTTAACACCGTACCATGCAAAGTGAGGACAGCCCATATATATCTTTGAGAAGAGACAAGCTTAAGATCAAAGCATGCAAGAAAACTGAAAACATATGAGTAGAAAAGATTCAACAAGCAAATAAACATAAAACGGAAATGGCAGATTTGACATTAGATAATTTCCAATTCAAGGTCAAAAAGCACAAAAGGTATACAGCCAGATATTTTATGAAGAAAAAGTGTATACTCTAAAAATAATGCATGTTGTAAAGCTTCATATGTCAACAACAAGCAGAAAATGAAACATAAGGATAACTTTTTAAAAGACAGTTTACAGTGGATGATTTTGTCAAAATACAATGAGTCAAAGAAAAAGTAAATATATGGAGAGTTTCAATATAATCTTATTACTTAATAAACTTGGGTTTATATAGACTCATTAAAAATGTTTGTGTTCTACAAATTGAGAACACTTGTTTCAAAGCTAGCAATCTTTTAGTAAATTATAAATCAATTTAATGTTGTTTTCCTAACCTGGATTTCTGACTTGAGATATTAGCATAGAAAATTAGCAGTAGAATGTTATAACAAGTTCATTTTCACATGAATTTGTTTATAAGGACAATTAATTTGGAAAGTCCCCCAACTAAGTTAATAACCATGTACTAATAAAACGAGATAACAGAGTATTGTCTTAAAATAAAATTAAAGTTTGTTACCAATAATAGCACATTAAAGTATTTCTATTTTGGAAATAAACAAGCTTCTAAAAATCCTCCTCTTATAAAATTAAGTGTATTGTTTGCAAATACTATGAAAACCACTATTATTATTATTATTAAGATGGATTCTCACTCTGTCACCCAGGCTGGAGTACAGTGGTACGATCTTGGCTCACTGTAACCTCTGCCTCCACCTCCCGGGTTTAAGCAATTCTGTAGTCCCGGCCTCCTGAGTAGCCAGGAGGATAGGCACAAGCCATCATGCCCTATATTTTTGTATTTTCAGTAGAGATGGGGTTTCACCATGTTAGCCAGGATGGTCTTGATCTCCTGACCTCATGATCGGCCCCCCTCAGCCTCCCAAAGTGATGGATTACAGGCGTGAGCCACCCTGTGCCCAGCCACAATTATTTTTAATATTTGTTTCCATTATTTGAAAAACAATGAAATATTTGGAAAATATTAATTTTGGAAATAATAACTTCCAAATAATATTTCATCTTAATCATCAGAGAACACACCTTCATTTTCAAAATAGCTCAAAATTTTGACCAGATACATAGTATTTACTAGTGCATCTGGAAGATGTTCTGGGCTCAGTTCTATTCAATAGAACTCATATGTACCAGTGCTCCTTTCAAGTCTCTAAGAGGATTCTGGTAGAAACAGAACGAATGTGGCCAGTTCTTGGCAAAACCACTGCAAAGTCTAAGCACATTAGCATATTTGCTTTCCTATCCAGCCACTCAAACTAGCCTGGTCTCACATGCCCAGACCTCCACCTCCTCCCAAATGAGGGGGCAAATCCAAAAGTATCAAGAGACAAGAAAATCATATGTAGGAAAAACTAAAATTGGCAATAGTAATGGAGTTTTATAAAGCAATTTCTTATGGTAACATCAAAAACTGTGCCCTACGTATTATTGATATTTACTCAAAATTACCTCAAAGCAAATTGGGCAATAGTGAGTACTTCTTTATGATATGTCACCCTTTAATTTTATTTATTTGTAACATAAAAAATAGAACTTGAACTAGATGTAATTCATAGTTTTTATTTCAATGATTATTCCTATTATAGGAACTAATATATATCTCACTTACAATATCCCTATAATTTTGCCTTGGAGTACAATATAGAAGAGCATTTTCTATTCAATTTAACTCCCTACATCAAAACCATTTATTAAAAAGGCTATGATACTGAAAAACTTTTGACAATAATTTTATTTGTGTATGCAGTATAAAATATATAATGAATGGACCACATCAACTACAACAAATACATAGTTTAGGATCTCATTGGAGAAAAGAGAAGACCTAGTATCCCAAATATTGAATATAAACATTGCTATTAGGTAATATAATTGTATCATAAACAAAATCAGGATCTTCACTATAAATTCCTAAATATAAAGCAAAATTAGTAATTATGTGGCCATTGCATACAAGACACGTAAACTTCCTAGAATGAAAGGGATTTAATTTAAAAAACTAAAAGCCGGCCGGGCACGGTGGCTCAAGCCTGTAATCCCAGCACTTTGGGAGGCCAAGACGGGTGGATCACGAGGTCAGGAGATCGAGACCATCCTGGCTAACACGGTGAAATCCCGTCTCTACTGAAAAATACAAAAAACTAGCCGGGCGAGGTGGCGGGCGCCTGTAGTCCCAGCTGCTTGGGAGGCTGAGGCAGGAGAATGGCGTAAACCCGGGAGGCGGAGCTTGCAGTGAGCTGAGATCCGGCCACTGTACTCCAGCCTGGGCGACAGAGCGAGACTCCGTCTCAAAAATAAATAAATAAATAAAACACTAAAAGCCCCTAAACTGAATGTAGCTTGATTTACATATCTACAATAAAGCCAAAGTAGGTTAGAGAGTCAGTGCAATGTGAAAAACTTCTTAAAATAATTATATTCTATACATACGAATCCCCTACTTTCCTACTGCTAGACAGGAAGGTGAAATTTAATCAAGGGTCACAGAGAAGAGCAAAACATCTCTCTTTAAGCTGCTAAATGGTTGAAAACCTGCGTGCTCTGCCTTCTCTGTGGTGTTCCCCTCAGTGACATCTGGACTCCGAGAAGCAATTAGCATCCGCCTGTGACTGACCATAAGATCATGTCCTTTCTTTATAATGGTCATCCATAATCAAAGTGAAAATAAACTCCAAACTTCTATTTCAAAATACAAACATAAGCAACAGTAGAGAGACAGGATCAAGCCTACTAAATGCAGAAGTTTGCAGAATAATCTAGATTTATGTAGTCACAGCTCATCAATAATATTGATAACAATAAAAACAAAGTCCTGTCAGGTTTTCAAAAGCTCTTGTGCTATTTTTTAACCAAAAATAAGATAGATTTAGGGTCTCTCTCTACAAAAAAGATAAATATTTCTTTAAGCTCTCAATCATGAAGTATAGGTATGTCTCTAAATTTTGAAAACACACCTTCAATCTGTTTTATAAGGGCAACACAACCTCTCTAAACTGCACTTAGAGTGACAATTTAATTACATATATAATTAGTAATTATTTATACAATTAATTAGTATAAACGCTTCTTTGATCTTTCATTTTTATAATATCCAGAGTAAAAAATATGAGTAATACTTAAAATCTCTTTCCTTAAATTATCTGAATAATTACAAAACATATAAAAGCTATGAGTTTTCCTTTGTTTGCCTTAGAAGTCTCTCTTCTTTTCCATCTCATTATGATATGCATTTCTAATAAAAATTGTCTTTTGAGTATTTACCAAAAGTTTTAATATTTAGGTAAATTTGATCAATTGTGTCTCTATATCAAAGAAATTTAATATTATCAATTAGTTATTAATGACAATATAGAATAACTTTTTAAAGTTATAGACTTACTAACATAAGAAATATAAGAAATTAATTTATATGAATATTTTTGTTGCACAGGAGTAGGATGTAGTAAAAAGGAAAAACTGAATAATATATATTTTTATTGTTAAAGAGGAACATTTTCAATAAACAAAGGTATTAAACCACGGCATTACTTACAGTCAATTGGATACTTTGAAAAGGGTAATGTAACCATTTTATTTTAAAGTATCACTATTTAAAATACACTGGAAGCTATATTCTTTTTTTTTTTTTTTTTAAATGGCATCTCACTGCCGCCAGGCTGCAATGCAGTGGCGCGGAATCGGCTCACTGCAACCTCCGCCTCCCAGGTTCACGCCATTCTCCTGCCTCAGCCTCCCGAGTAGCTGGGACTACAGGCGCCTGTCACCATGCCCGGCTAATATTTTGTAGTTTTAGTAGAGACGGGGTTTCACCGTGTTAGCCAGGATGGTCTCGATCTCCTGACCTAGTGATCCACCGGCCTTGGCCTCCCAAAGTGCTGGGATTACAGGTGTGAAGTCACCGCGTCCAGCCCACTGGAAGTTATATTCTAAGGATCTAAACTGATAAAGGATTTCTATGTCAACCTCACAATGTTCAAGAATGTGCAAAGTTTTTCAAAATTATTGTATGGGTCACATAAGCAAAAAACAACTGAAGGCCACTAAACTATTCTCATCACCATTAGACAGGCAATAATCTCAAAATAAAATGTCTATAAAGATAGTTAGAACAGGCCAGGAGTGGTGGCTCACACCTGTAATCCCAGCACTTTGGGAGGCTGAGGCAGGCGGATCATGAGGTCAGGAGATTGAGACCATCCTGGCTAACATGGTGAAACCCTGTCTCTACTAACAATACAAAAAATTAGCCGAGCATGGTGGCAGGCACCTGTAATCCCAGCTACTCGGGAGGCTGAGGCAGGGGAATGGTGTGAACTTGGGAGGCGGAGCTTGCAGTGAGCCAAGATTGCACCACTGCATTCCAGCCTGGGCGACAGAGCAAGACTCCATCTCAAAAAAAAAAAAAAGACAGTTATACTAGAGTAAGATAGCCCTCATTCCCAGCCATAGAGTCTCTTATCCTAAATCAATAATGTATTTAAAACCCAATACAAATCAATTATCATCCTAAATCAATAAAGTCTTTAAAACCCAATATACTAGGAAACAAATACATTGAAAATTTACTGCTTTTAGGCAAAGGACTAAAGCTTCCAATTATTAAAAAAAAAATGACATTTTAATTTTACTTAAAATAGTTCAAAATGACACCTTCATCACCATACTGTACTCATTTACAGAAACTAAAAGGAAATATTCAGACAAGTCATCACAAAAATATACTCTACACATTTATATGTTTCATAAATATTAATATATAAAAACTCTCATTACTATAATGAATACACAGTGACTTTTATTGCAATGCAGATTTGTACTTAGCTATCAAGTGATTTTTAACTAAATATAGTGACTTCCAGTAATGACTCTGTCCTACTGATCATGTTCAAGTTTCCTGTTTTAAATGTACTTTTAGAAGGTTAAATCCACAGTCTGTCAGATCTGAGATGTGCGACAGGCTTGCAAAGAACTTGTCTTGTCTCCAAATCTTACATCACTCTGTCCTAGTAGCCATTTCTGCCAAGAGATGCATGGTCTGGGAAGAGATGATGTTAAAAAATCAAATGAGGCTAAAGACGAAAGCAGACTGTACAAAATTACTGCTTATTTCTCAGGTTTGACAGCTGGTGAACTGAGGCTAAAGAAAAGATAAAGGTAGGTGAACGGAAATAGACAAAAGAGAAAATCTCCACCACTTTCTCGGTGTTTCCTTTGTTCGCTTGCTTGCTGTAGTTTTCAGCATGACCGGCTGACATAGAAGCACAACACTGAGCTATTTGGTGCACTTGGTGCATTAGGCTGTGTTTGGAAGTTCTACTTACGCAACTCTTAGTGTCTCTAGTCTCCAAAGGGAACGTGCATGAACAGACACAGCGCCACCTTCGTAATGAACGGTTCTGTTTCAACAAACAAACAAAAGCCCAAATGTGAGTTAAACACGTTTCATTCTTTGGATTCTAATTTTTTGAAGCTAATTAGAAGAGAAAAGCAAATGGCCTGTGAATAAACAGTTAAAGTTATACTTTTTTGGCAGGAGACAGTATAGCTGGAAATAAAAATAACCAAAATAACAGTAACAGTGATCAACCTAAGTTTTCCCTGAATAAACAATTATTTAAACATATTCTCTCTTGCCATTTTCTCCCTCTAATCTCATTCATTCTCTTTCTCTCTCTCTGTCTCTCTGTTTCTCCCCATCCCTCCCTCCCAGTGAATAGATTTCACCTTACTTATCCAACTTAGGTCCATGAAAGTACTCTGTGAAAAGTTTAGGTATAGTTTAATGTATCATTATTTGGACATAGGTATATAAATATTTGCACTTCCAAATTCTGTTTTAGATTATTTAAAGCATTTTAAACAAATGTAAGAACACTAATTCTTAATATTTTAACAATATTGCAATCTGCAATTTATATCAAAATATCAATATCCAAAAAGTCTCAAAAATGGAACTTCTTTGGATGCATTATCACATGCACCCAAATTCTAAAACCCTCATAATAATAATGTGTTAATATGTCATACATAATGCTAAGTAATTGCTATAATTATCCAAATTAATGACTGCACCAACGCCTTGAGATTGTTTTGGAAACCAAAGCTGATGCACATTCCCTCTTTCTTCCCTGAGTGTTAACTATCTTCCTCTCTATAGGGTCTGTCTTATGTAAACACATGAAAGTCTATCCTGCCTCACACATGGCAGTAATACCATGTCTACTCCTGTCAGTTTCCAGTGGGCTCCAATCTTGCTTCCAGACCCATTTCTCCACTGAAACAGGTTTTGCTAAACTCATCAATGACCTTCATGTTACCAAATCCATTACTTTCTTTTTAACACTATGGAAACTCCTATTGTCTTGAAAGTTTTTCTAACACATTCTCACCTGCCTTTCCTCCTACCTGTTTAGATATTCCTTCTCATTCTGTCTTTATTGTGGAACATGTCAAATATACACAAAGATAAAGATAAAGATAATAAATAAATCCCCATACACCTAGCACATGACATCAACAACGATGGGACATCAACATAGGGACAACCGCGTTTTACCTATAACCTCTACTTACCCCTCCACATGCATCTCTAAAAATAATTATTTGATATGAGGAAATATCTAGTCTGTGTTTGAACGTCCCAAATTGCCTCACAGATGTTTTTAACTTTCCCTTGTTGATTTTTCAAATCAAGTTACAAAAAAGACACACTTATCAGTTAGGGGTCTTCAGTCTCTTTTATTCTAGAATAGTCCCCATTCCTCTCTTGTCTTCCCTTCTTGCCATTTATTAGATGATAATCAGTCTGCACCATATGTCCTGGAGGACTTTCTACATTCTAGATTTGACCAACAGCCTTCCTATGGTGTTTTTTTTTTTTTTTTTTTAAACACATCCCTCTAAATTGGTAGTGAGATCTAGAAATCTAGAAGCTTGTCCAAGTTTGAATTTTGGCAAGAACATTTCACAAATTGGTGTTTGTACTTCCCATTATAACAAAACAGGGGTACATAATTGCCTATTTCTTTAGATAACATTGGATCAGTTGGTTCAGGATCACCCTAATCCATCCATTAGGACCTAAGAGTTTTAGGTAGTAGGTTGGTGCAAAAGTTATTGCAGTTTTTGCCATCAATAACCAGTGTCCATAACAGTGATTTTCAACTTTTGCTGCATAAAGTACTCACATGGATAGTTTTTAGAAATCCTTATGTGCACCCTCCCCAATGACATTAATCAGATCTGGAGTCAGGACTTTAAAAACTCTCTCGCTGGTTGTAATGGGAAGCCAAGCCTCGGAAAGCACGGTCTAAGTAAGTTACTCCACAGCAGCACTATTGATGCTTGGGGCTGCGTGATTCCCTGTTGGGCTGTCCTGTGCATTGCAGGATCTTTACAGCCCTGCCCTCTACCAACTAAATGCCACCAGTAGCCTCCCACCAGCTGTGACAACCAAAAGAGGTCTCCAACATTGCCAGATGTCCCTTTGGGGCCAAAACCACCCTCAGTGTAGAGCCACTGACTTAGGTAAGTGGCTCTCAGTCTTCAGTGAGGTAGAATCCTCTCCCTTTGAGGGCTTCTTAAGACCCAGATTGCTTATCTCACTTAACATACGTCCTCTAGGCGCAACCATGTTGCTATGAATGACAGAACGTCATTTAAAAATTACAAGTAGATTGGAGATATAAGTTCTAGTATTTGATAGCACTATAGCATGACTGTGGTTAACAATTTATAACATATTTTCAAATAGCTAGAAGAGAAGATTTTGAATGTTCCCAACAAAAAGAAATTATGTTTGAGTTGATATATATGCCAATGGCTGATTTGATCATTCTATACTGTATGTATGTATTGAAATGTCATATTGTACCCCATAAATATGTACAATTATATGTCAATTAAAATAATTTTTTAAAAAGAGGTTGCTGGCCCCATCCCCAGAGTTTCTGAGTGGCCACGTCTTAGGGTGAGGTCCAATAATCTGCATTTCCAACAAATTCCCAGGTGATATTGATGGTTCATATTTTGAAAACCACTTGACTAGATCCATTATTTCATTTTGGCAATGGTACTTAACCTTGGTTGTATGTTAGAATCACCTGGAAAGCTTTAAAAAGTCCAATGTACACTCAGACTAATAACACTGAATGACAAAATACAGACATTGTGCACGTCTGTGTGTGTATATACACATATATAAATAGATGCACTCACACACAGACACAGCTTTTTAAATACATTTGACCTTTAATAAGGGTCTTTTACTTGACCACAAAGAAAATGTTATCAGATTTTTAAAAGACTTTTACTCATCATATTTTCTGATCATAAACAAAAAAAATTAGAAACAAATACTGAAAAGACAAGAAATTGACAACTTGGAAAATGAAGAAACTTCTAAATAATTCATGGGTCAAAGAGGGAATCAAAATTATACTCTATCTAGAATATAATGAACAGAAAAGTACTTCTTAACAAATCTATGATTCACAGGTAAACTTTGAACACTTTTAATCTGCAATTCTTTAATTATTAAACAAAAAACATAAATAAAGAATTGCCTGAAGACATGAAATAGAGAACAAAATAAACCAACAGAAAATAGAGGAAGAAACTCAATGATGTACTGTTAAATAAGATGCAGGAGTGCTATCGTGAATAGTGCCGCAATGAACATACGTGTGCATGTGTCTTTATAGCAGCATGATTTATAATCCTTTGGGTATATACCCAGTAATGGGATGGCTGGGTCATATGGTACTTCTAGTTCCAGATCCTTGAGGAATTGCCATACTGTTTTCCATAATGGTTGAACTAGAGTGGCACTATTTACAATAGCGAAGACTTGGAATCAACCCAAATGTCCATCAGTGACAGACTGGATTAAGAAAATGTGGCACATATCCACTATGGGATACTATGCAGCCATAAAAAAGGATGGGTTTGTGTCCTTTGTAGGGACATGGATGCAGCTGGAAACCATCATTCTCAGCAAACTATCACAAGAACAGAAAACCAAACACCGCATGTTCTCACTCATAAGTGGGAAGTGAACAATGAGATCACTTGGACTCGGGAAGGGGAACATCACATACTGGGGCCTATTATGGGGGGCGGGGGAGGGATTGCATTGGGAGTTATACCTGATGTAAATGACAAGTTGATGGGTGCTGACGAGTTGACGGGTGCAGCACACCAACATGGCACAAGTATACATATGTAACAAACCTGCACATTATGCACATGTACCCTAGAACTTAAAGTATAATGATAATAATAATAAAGAAAAAGAAAAAAAGATGCAGAAGTGTATACTATGTACATTTTCTGTGCAAGTTATCACTAAAAATCTATCATATATGTATATATGCAAACATATATCTGTATGAGCATGGAGAAAGTTGTCAAATGATGAACATCAAACTATTAGTATTAATTACATTAGAGGAACAATTACATAAGGTATAGAGAAATTAAGCTCAAAAAATTTTAAAAAGGTCTCTAAGATACAAATAGCATGAATAATATATCTTTGTAAAATTATATGGATTTCTACAATAAAGTGAAGAATTATCATGCAAATATTTTACTTTGATAACTTTACCTTTTGAATTTAACAATGATCTTTTATAAAAATCTAATGGTATTTTTATTAAAATTTTAAAAGACAGCAAGTGCAGAATGTCAATGGTTGTCTAATCAAGTCTTCATGGGCTGTTTCAGACTGAAAATTGGCACTACAATATCAAGATCTTAAATACATAGGCATTTCAGTCCCATCATAAAGGACATTAAGGACATTCAAACTCATTGAGAAATCATCCCACCTAGAGGAATACACCTGCTCTATGAAGGGATTGTCCCTTTTCCCTGCAATGCATTTCAAGTATCAAGTCAGAGTCTAGAAGGGCAATTGTCCTGAAGACAACAAGTTTACCAAATGGTATTACCAACTTTGAACTCATACAAATAAATGATTATACTCAGAGCAAATGCCCTTTCAGCTGGAAGACTGAAAAGGGAGAAAGATTCTCTAAGAAATTACACAGACTGAGAGCAACAGCACCTTTTGAGCTAATCATCACAAGGGATTTTAATGCAAATAGCAGGCAGGATGCCAGAATTTAGGAAGGTCGATGGATATGAAAATGCAAAAGAGCTCATGCAGCTCTTTGTTAACTGGAGACTATTTTTACAAGGTACTAAAACAGTGTTACAGCTACTGGGAAAATAAGTATGTGCTAAAAGAACTGGACATTGTTATTATTTTGAACAGAATTTTGTTTAAAAATTTTAATCTCATAAACCAGACAAAGTCAAAGTCACTGTAATTTCACTGAATAGGAATGTTAAAAATATGCACGTATAATAACCAGCAGTATGAGCTTGTTCA